TATAAACTGCGTTCTTCCTAATCCGCACAATAATGCTTGGATAAAGAGTTGCCAGCAGAAACTTGAGTTTCAAGTGGATCTCTTAACCGGAATCAACATAGGATTTGAGATGGACAAATATTTTTGATGCTACTATAACACAATTCATTGAAAATAAAAAATTAAATAAATGCCAGCATAGTTCTTAAATTTAAAAATACAAATCCATTAATTCTTTGATGGTTGCTTTTTTTACGTTTCTAGTACGAAACTAAGAAGATATGATTTTCGAGAAAAATCTGAACGAGGAAATGTGCATTAAAGCAAATCGAACCTTGCTTGGCTGTGAGACTCTCCGTAGCCAAGTAGTATAAATCACGCCGGATCAGACAAAGAAGGTCGCAGGTTCGAATCCTGCTGGAGGGCATTTTTTCTCTAGAGTATACACGCCAGTAAATGAAATAAACTCTGTTTACAAAATGCGGCCGTCTACTCAAATACGGGTATCCACTAAAAATAACGTTTTTTTTTGTAATAAAAATAGCTTTTTTGCATCAAATACGAGTTTGATTCAGCAAACCCCATAGCATGTTTTCAACATAGCCTACAGTGAGCTATTTTGGAACATTTAGGGAATGCATTGAAGATATTAATTTTTCAAGGGACGTTAAACTCTTTGAAGAACGCTTTGGCTGGAGTTGTAGAACATAGATAAATCTTTGAAATAAATTAGATTTTTAAATATAACCATAAGAGTTTTTTGTAAAATTTGATCCACCAATTTTAAAAGCTATTTCTGAACATTCCTGAAATTGTAAGTAGTGGGTACTTACAATTTCAGGAATGTACTGAAATAGCTTATAAAATATCAACGAGTAATTATATAGAACATTTATGGTATATGGTTGCCAGAAGATAAATTATGTTAGATCACCTCATCTTAGAGTCAATACCATTGGTGGGATTCAACACTATTTTTTTTAATGTCATGCCCCTTCAGGACGTGGATGATCATAAGTCTCCATAGATTCCTTTATAACTGGTGAATTGTTAAACATTCTAGGGGAAGATATTGGAAAAGTTTCCCTTTGCCTTCCCTTAGAATTTGCCTGGGATTCAGAAAATTGCGTGTATTGAATTGAAAGAGTTTTATACAAGGGTGAATGTAATAGACTACTCTGGAATTTGAACTCAACAATTCCACTTTTCACGCAGATATCCGTTACGCGACATCTTCAATACCATCATGGAATTTCTGTTTTTAATTTCTGGAATGTAGAGCCATCATTATTTAAAGTATTTATATGCGGATTATTGTCCTCATCTTTGTTGATTGGATTTGTCAAAAATACCTCATACTAATACCTCTCTGAATACCTCCCCTATAATGGTAAGACATGAGCTAGAGAAAGACATATGTTAGCACTAATGTCTTACTATTATGTTGGAGGTATTTCTACCAAAGATGGCTTGGCTCTGTTCGAGTTTATCCTGACATGAAGAGACAATTCACCCACGTATACCATCTGAGCAAATATATATTTTTAATTTAGCGTAGATCGGACATTTAATTGGTTAATCAATACATATCCACAAGTCTAATTTTAATTCTGACCTTATGTCCCTCCGCTTTTTAACTTTCAGAAAAAAGCAACAATTTGTTTTTAAATTTGCTTAAAAATCATTTCATCACCAGTTACTTACCACCGCCTGAAGGAGTACATTCAAAGTACCGAAACGTGAAAACTTTCGTGTAGCGATTTAAAATGTTTTATTATGATCTCTTATAATAAAAATATAATGAGATATATATATATATATATATATATATATATATATATATATATATATATATATATATGATTAATGTGAGTAAAATATGTCACTTAACCTATTGATCCCGACTCCAGAGGTACGTCGACGGACCTGTTGTCCACTCTTCATGGTATAAAACTCTGGTATTTATATTTGATCAATCATGTACCACGTGCATTAAAACCGTACATAACTCTATATGTATATAAGTTTATGAAGATTCTTGTATGTCTAAGCGGGCATCAGATGGTAATGTGCATTCTTGATTGTGTATGTGTAGTGGGAGTTCTAATGTCTTCACCTTTGTACTGTCAACCCAGCGCAGCGGGGTGTCACTTCATTCTAATCTATAACTGAGCTTTTTAAGCATGTATTCTTTGTATTAGATAGATATAAGATAAATTCTTTAAGAATTAATTCAAAGAAAGATGGCGATGTAATGTAATGTGTTAGGCGTGTTTGTAGTTGGTAATAAGGTTATTATTATGTTTTAAGTATTTTCTCAAAAAAAAATTATGTTCTTTTTTTTTTTATTGGGGTGGCGTTAGTGAAATTAAAGTGATCTCCAGCATCATTTCGATGTAATATGAGAGAAAGATTAAACGCAATTCTCTCTTGTATTCGTAGATGAGGGCTTTAAGATCACGTGATGTCTCCCCCACATAAAAATTTTCGCATTATATTTGTTAAGCAGAATAGAAATCTGATTTTAGATTCTTCCCAATTATTATATAATCTATCTATCTATCTATCTATCTATCTATCTATCTATCTATCTATCTATCTATCTATCTATCTATCTATCTATCTATGTGTGTGAGTGTGTGTGTGTGTGGAGAGAGAGAGAGAGGGAGAGAAAAAGAGAGAGCAGTTAATAGTTAATAGGAAGATACAATTGTTAGGCACAATTCAAACTTGATTTTAGATTCTTCAAAGTTATATATTATATCTATCTATCTATCTATCTATCTATATATATATATATATATATATATATATATATATATATATGTGTGTGTGTGTGTATGTGTGTGTGTGTGTGGAGAGAGAGAGAGTGAAAAAGAGAGAGCAGTAAGTGAGGGGTACGAAGAGAGACGAATAAATAAGAATAGATAATTGGAAGATACAATCGTTAGGCACAATTCAAACTTGATTTTAGATTCTTCAAAATTATTAATAAGAATAAGAACAATGAGATAATTTCTAAAGTCTAAATAAATTTTGATGCCATTTAATTTCTCACAATCGATACGCAAAATTAAATGATATTATAATTATATATAATACATATAACATCAACAATGTTATTTTTTATATTTGCTATATGTCTCTCTGCGAATATAACAAAATAAAGTTAATGATAATAAAATATGTAATTCCCTTGATAGTATCTTTCCATACCATTTGGTGTTTTAAGCATTCCATTCATAAAATATGAACACGTTAAACCTTGGATGAATTTTTTTTAATCTAATATTCATTGTTATTTATATGCATCCAGGAAAATTGAGCTGCATAGATCGATATCATCAGTGAGTAATTTGTGGCTTCATCAGTGAATGGCTTGACGGTGAAATCTCAAAAGACATTGCACTGTGAGTGGTGCTGTTAATTTCCTGTGTTCAGAAAAATTGCTTTAATTTCATTTTGCGTGTCACATTGTAGTGGTGGCTCGAAGAAAAGGCAAATTTCGTGTCACAATGGCGGCTCGAAATAATAGAAAATTTCGTATCACAATGTCGACGTTAAATAATGGCAAATTTCGTGCCATGGTGGCAGCTTCAAATAATGGCGAATTTAGTATCACAGAGACGGATCGTAATAATGGCAAATTTCGTATCACAGTGGCGTCTCGAAATAATGGCTATTTTCATTTCATGGTAGCAGCTCGAAATAATGGTTATTTTTGTATCACGGTGACAGCTCGGAATAATGCCAAATTTCATGTTACAGAGGCGGATCGGAATAATGGCTATTTTCGTGTCATTGGGCGTCTCAAAGTAATGGCTATTTTGGTATCACAGTGGAAGCTCGAAATAACGAAAAATTTAATGTCACAGAGGCGAATCGAAATAATGGTAAATTTCGCGTAGTAGTTAGAGGCTCCAAACAATGGTAAATTTCGAAAACATTCGTAAATGTAGTAGATTGTAGATGTAATAAAGTTTTTGAAAACTGCATTTTCAGGGTGAGGTATAGAAATTGGGAAATGTAGACCTCAAGGGTGACCCCATTACGGGAATTTAGATATAGGTGTGGACTTGGTAGTTGCAGAAAAGGACGCTGGCAGAAGTAACTTGCAGTAATTTACGCAGGGTAGTGCGTTTGGTTTTCCTGGTAAAAAGGGAAGGATATTTGTAAAGAATGTTATTAACTGGGACATTAATAAAAAAAAGTTTTTGCATTATACAGTTGCTGGTTTTACATAACGTACAGTGGGAACGTTATGCTGTATTTAAGTATGATGTTATAATATTGTTTAGTGCTTTTGATAAGGTATATTTGGGGATAGGTAGGGATTCGAAGAACAATAGTTTCCGAATGTTCAACGGGTTTATGAATTTTAATTCAATAGCTTTTCTTAGTGTATTCAAGTTAGTAGTCGTCAGTGCTTTTCAGCACTTTTATGGAGCCTATTTGTTGGGCTAACGTTCTCCTTCTCGGACTAACTTTCTCAGCTGATATGAAATGGAAAGACTATATTGAATCCATTGCTTGGTCAGCTGTTAAGAAACTTGGTTCAATGTTTTGTGTGAGGCAATTTTTCTTTCTAGAATCTAAATTATATAGAGCTTCAGTTATTTTTCAAGCCAACTTTTAAATGCAATGTCGATCACTATCTACTGGCCTAATTACTCTTCTTTTCCTGCTCATTTTTAATGTTCCCGTTCCTAATTCCTCCACACCCTGTAGCCTCTTTGTGTCTTAGTGGCTTTACTGCCTTGCACAAGGTGATATCGATTAAAAAATAATTTACTGGCGTCTTTCTTTAATTGGTCGCTGTTTTTTTTTCTATGTACGAGTTACTAGAACTGCTTCTTCTGATATGTCTGCATTACCATGGTGATCATTAGTAGGTATTTTAATTTTAAGGTTAAGCTGGGTGATTTGTATGTGTTGCGATCTGCTTTTTGATTTCTCCTTTTTGTATTGATTGTAATAATATTTCAATTTTAGTATTTTTTGTGATAGGGTTTGAATTTTATTTATAGGTAGGAGTTACGTCCGACCTTGAGGATGTCTTTTTGTGCCTCACTGAGCTTGTCTTGCTCCAAGAGATTGTTACAATTGTCTTGTGATTGAGGTAGGAGGATTTTACTCTTACTGAGTTTATTAAGTCCTTTAAACTACATTTATAGGTGTTTTTTCCCTATTTTAAATGCAACGGTGACGTGTTGTGGGATTCGGTTATAGAAGTACTGATTAGTTTTTTATTACGTCTACATAAATCGGATGGAAAATAACCAGGCGTATGACTGAAAGCGTTTAATCCTAGACGTTCAAATAATATATATATATATATATATATATATATATATATATATATATATATATATATATATATATATATATATATAGTTTAAACAAACTTAGGTAATCCGTATGGGTAGACCTGAGAAGGATGATATCCAGAGAGCTCCTGAATTATATATATATATATATATATATATATATATATATATATATATATATATATATATATATATATATTAAGAAATGGACAAAGTCCGACAATTTATTTATTAAAGACATTTTTATGTTTCACGTTCTTTTTTATAGATACAAGTATTTAAGTAAATGCTCTGTTTATAATAAACAGTATTAAATAACATTTGCCTGCATCCTTTGTGGCCGAGACGGTAAGGCACGTCAGCGTAAATGACGGTTCCGTATAGGATGCAGGTTCGAATCCTGTCAAAGGACGAATATTTTCTATGAAAATTTCTCGGACATTCAGGCCGGTAAATGTTATTTAATACTGTTTATCATAAACAGAGCATTTACTTAAATACTTGTATCTATAAAAAAGAACGTTAAACATAAAATATATATATATATATACTTTATATGCGCGGTACTTATGCGAGGAAAGTGCTCAATATTTGTGATAGAGCTAATATACGATCGCAAAAGCGAGAAGCCACACGAGATCATCAGGGTGGGTAGCAAGTTTACCCTGATGATCCCATGTCGTGAAACCTACGTAGTTTGTACCTGGCTCATTAGGATTTATTTATTTTATTTTTGCTCTACTTAGTGTATTGGGCACTCTTCGTTTTAACTTATTACTAGCTGGGTTTCTGGTGATTTCTTTCTTTTCTTTCTTTTTTTTTTCCCCATTTTTCCTCGGATGCCAATTTATTTGAAAATTGTACTATCCAGCTTTTTTCACCCACTGCGTTTAAATAGATTTAAATTATATCTCCGACTGACGCCAATTCAGTCGGGTTTCGATCCTAGCTAGAGGCAACCGGACGTCTAGCCACACTGAAGAGCTGTGATACAGCGAAACAGTCTGTCCGTGGATATATATATATATATATATATATATATATATATATATATATATATATATATATATATATAGTTTATGAAAACTAGGTAATCTGTATGGGTAAACCTAAGGAGGATAAAATCCAGAGAGCTCAATGTAAATCCAGAGCAAATAATTTAAATAAAAACAGACCACTTTAAAGTTCCATGTAATATGAGAGACAAGGAAAATTTTACTAATTTTTATTTAGTTTCTTCAGCATTCTTACATCTTATTTCGTAAAAACTGTCCTAAGCGCCTCCGAACACTTTAGATATTTTCATGGAGAAGGGGGGGTATAGATAGTTTATTTTCATGTTCTGACCGTGTGAATGTATTATTTGTGAATTATAGTAGCTGCGATTCCAAGCCCTCGTGCGTTGGGCGTGGCTGGAATTCGAGTCGGCAACAGTCTATTTTATAAAGATTTCAACACTCCGTTACCATTGTTAAACAAGGTAAACTTGATGGTGGGGGAGAGCCGTTTGATGTACAAGGCCTCTCTTATAACAAGGTATTTTCTGGAATTTGATTTACAAAGGACTCTCGTGTTACCGACTAATATCTTTCTTAAGGCCTCTTGCTGGCTGCTGGGTCGTGTAATTTGATTACTGTATATTTAGACAGCAACATTTCTTTTAATCATCTTTCGATAAATGTATATATATTCAATGAATCCAAAAATATTCTCGCATGCATATAAACAAAATAAGACAACTAAAAATAAAATATAATAATCTGTATGTGTAAGTGTTAATAAAACATGTATCAATAAAAATTGCTACCAAAATATGGTGTACAAGAAATTTAATAATATATATATATATATATATATATATATATATATATATATATATATATATATATAACTGGATGATAGATAGATGAATGACTAAATACTCTATAGTATAAGAAAAAACAGTGCTCAATGTTAAATAACAGATCTATTTAATATATATTAAAAAAATATTCGGACCTTGAATAAGTTCTCGCTGTTTCCCAACAAAAGGCGTTCCCAGAACTGAGTGCGTGTTGTTTCTGATGGTAACTCATCTATAAGGAAGTACCATAAGCAAGCTTTAAAATCAGTGTATGTCATTTCACCGAAGTGTAAACAACTTTGTTTTTCATAGCATTAAACATATCAGATTTCGTGCCAAGAAAATGTATTTGCGGGGAATTTTATTTTACTTTATTCAAAAGAAATCTGCAGCTTAAGAATTCTTGTCGAGACTTACGGCGACCATGCTTTGTCGGAAGCAACATGCAGAGATTGGTTTAGACATTTCAAAAATAATGATTTTGATGTTGAACATAAAGAATGCTCCGGCGCACTGAAAAAGACAAAGAATTGGAGACATTATTTCATGAAGACTTATGTCAAGCGTAAGCTGAACTTGCAAAATCATTAGGAGTTGATCACACACTTTCGAAAGGTTTGAAAGCATTAGGAATGATTCAAATCAATGACATTGGGTGCCGTATGAGTTGAAGCCGAGAGACGTCGAACGCCGTCTTGTCATATGTGAACATCTGCTTCAACCACATAAAGGAAAGGATTTTTGCATCGTATCATGACCGGCGATGAAAAGTGGATAAACTACGATAACCCTAAGCGTTTAAGATCGTGGGGTAATCCCGGCCATGCATCAACATCGGAGGTAAAGCCGAATATCAATCGTTCGAAGCTTCTGCTCTGCATTTGGTGGGATCAGCTGAGTGTATTTTATTATGAGCTGCTCAAACCGACCGAAACCATCACGGGAGATCGCTATCGATTACAATTTGATGCGCGTTTGAGCCGAGCATTGAAGAAAAAACGGCCGCTATAGGAGCAGAGACACGACAAAGTGATTTTGCAACATAACGCTAGGCCACATGATGCAAAACGAGTTAAAACATACTTGGAAATGCTTAAATGGGAAGTCCTACCCCACCCGCCGTATTCACCAGACACTGCCCCGTCCGATTATCACTTATTCCCATCGATGGCACATGGTCTGGTTGAGCAGCACTTTCATTCTTATGAAGATGCCCCCAAAATGGGTCGACTCGTGGTTAAACTCAAAAGACGTGTCGTTTTTCCAACGTTCAAATGCTGCCAGAAAGATGGGAAAAAGTAATGGCTAGCGATGGACAATACTTTCAGTGATATGTTTATTAATATTTTTTGTAAAGAAAACATTACTTTTCATGAAAAATCAGCGAGAACTTATTCAAGGTCCTAACACATAATCCCTTACATCGATTGCACAACTCAGAGTTACATGCTAAAGTAATTCTCAAGCGATGCTATTATTATTTTTGTGCACACACATTTAATGACATTTTTAGTTATCAATTTATTAGTAATTTAATTTAATTTTAATTTTATTTTATTTTACTAAGGCATATTTTATTATTATTATTATTATTATTATTTATATTACTACTTTTAGTTAGTTTATTAATATTAATATTAATAATTAATATTAATAATAATATTAATTATATTAATAATAATTAATTAAATACTTAATATTAGTAATCATGATATTATTAATTATAATAAAATAATTAATAATATTATTAATATTAATATTACTAAACTAACTAAAAGTAGTGATTTTCAGAAAAAATTGAGTTACAACGCTTGATTTTCTAACGTTTCTTCTTGTTTATTATCTGTCTATATTTCTGAGATGAGGTATTATGTACATTATTCGGACTATTGTCCTCATCTTTGTCGCCATATTTATTACAACGTTTCGGCTGTTGTACGCTCCGGCCTTCTTCAGGTGGTTGGAATTTCGAACTGAACCCTTTATTTCATTCACTGGGGTAGACTGTTCTAGTTCCACGTGCCATGTTTAATGGATGTCAGTTATCAGTTATCTCCTGTTAATTACCCTCTCCACTTTCTCCACTGCCTTAACCGGGTATTGAACCTGTCATTGGATCTAACCAACGCTTTTATCCATTGTGCTATGTGTCTTTGAGTACACATGGCATATGGAACGCGGAACATGACACGTGGAACTAGAATAGTCTACCCCTGTGTGCGAAATAAAGGGTTCAGTTCGACATTCCAATCACCTGAAAAAGGCCGGAGCGTACAACGGCCGAAACGTTTTAATAGATATGGTGACAAAGATGAGGACAATAGTCTGAATAATGTAAATAGCGTACATAATACCTCATTTCAGAAATATACACAAATAATAATAATAATAATAATAATAAGAAGAAGAAGAACTCTTTGGGTCCTGTCACTGGATCTAACCAACGCTTTTATCCACTGTGCCACGTCTCCTTTCTTCTTGTTTATTGCTTTTATAACATCAGCGTCTCTCTAAATTAGAATTTATAATTCTTATTTTCAACCTTATTTTCAATCTTAAACGTTGAATTCATTTTAAAAAATTAAACTACGATTCATTTAAATATTTTACCAACAATAATATTCCACCTCAACAATAAAGTATCGCGCGATAACTAGAAATTTCATTAAACCGGTGTTGGACCAAAACAAAAAATACAAGCGCTTGAGAGTTGCTTTGGCATGTAAACAATTGTGCAATCAATGTAAGGTATTATGTATATTTTTTTTAATATATATATATATATATATATATATATATATATATATATATATATATATATATATATATATTGATAAAAAGACAGGGCGAGGTAGAGAAATATATTGAAAACCAGATAGCAAGAAGAAGAGAAACACAAATAGATAGATAGATTAGATAGTGTTTGTAACCTAAGGTCGGGTTACTGAATAGAATAATCAAACGAAGGTTGGTAATGAACAATAATACTTAGGACAAGAACAACACATTTAAGATTTTCCAGTGGCGCGTAGAAGAAGTTGTCAACGGCTAGAAGCGAGTCAAGTGAATTCCACAATGAATCTTTAACTGCAGACCAACATATATTATTTACTACTGTATTTATGTGAATGGGGATATAACTATTATCGTCTGTATGTATGCTAAAACAGATAGATAGATAGAAAGAGAGAGAGAGAGAGAGAGAGTGTAAGTGAGAGAGAGAGAGAGGAGAGAGAGAGGAAGAGAGAGAGAGAATTAATTTATGAGAAGAAAAATACGGCGAATTTTTTATTGAAAGAAAAAGGGAACTTGCATGATGAAAACAGATAGATAGAGATAGATAGATAGATAGATAGATAGATAGATAGATAGATAGAATATAGTGAAAGAGATGGAGAGAGAGAATCGGATAGAATGTAAGAGCATATAGTGAGAGAAAGGGAGAGAGAGTGATACAGAGGGAGAAAATCGGATAGAATAGACATAATACAGTGAGTGAGAGAGAGTGAGAGAGGTAGATAGAGAGAGAGAGAGAGGAATGGGAGAGAGCGGAGGGGGAGAGAGAGTAGAGGGAGAGAGAAAGAGGAGAGGGGGAGAGAGAAAATCGGAGAGGATGGAACTTTATATATATTTATATATATATATATATATATATATATATGGAGAGAGAGATAAAATCGGATAGACTTGATAGTGAGAGAGAGAGACAGAATATGATAAAACAGAATAAAGTATAGAAGAGAACAAGAGAAAAATGAAAATGGTAGAAATGTGTATAATAAAACGGAATACGGTGTGTGTTTGTGTGTGTGTGTGAGAGAGAGAGAGCAAGAGAGAGAGAATAATGAGCGAATGATAATGAGAGAGAGTGAGAGAGAGAACAGTGAGAGAGAGAGAGAACAGTGAGCGAGTGAAAAAGAGAGAGAGAGAGAGAGAGAGAGAGAGAGAGAGAGCAAAAGTAAGAAAGTAGTCGAAGAATTTAAATCGGATAGGGAAGTGGAATATAATAAGAGGGTAAAAATGTCTGAAAAAATGTAAATAAATAAAAGAAACAATGGTGTGGAAGAAACAATCTAACAGAGAGACATGTGAAAGCGATGAGTAAAAGCGATGTTGACTTTCAATAAGCAAAGAAGAGGCGAAAAGTTGAACAACCTGAGAGAGTGTGGAATAATCAGTCATTAGTGAGTGTGGCAAGAGAGAAAGATTTATGATAACAAGAAGTGACAAAGTGCAACTGAGATAGATAGATAGATAGATAGATAGATAGATAGATAGATAGACAGACAGAGAGTAAGAGAGAGAGAGAGACAGAGAGAGAGAGAGAGAGAGAGAGAGAGAGAGAGGTAGTAATTAAAGACAACTTTTTCGAGTAAGAATCTTCCCGCCTGCCCGTGCGAAGGACGCTTACCGTACGGTTCAGTTTTTAAGTGTTTCTACAAGTTAATTGTTCTTTCTGCAAGCTGGCGTTCGCCTATTTTCGCACTGAAAAGTGAACACGTGATTCGGCAACAGCTTTGGACGGACGAAGGCTGCCGGACAACCGGACGGTAGGACGGATTGGAAAAGAGGAATGGTTATGGAAGGGGGAAAGGGGGAGTTCGGTATGATGAATTTAAGAAAACTGGCTGGGGAGACGGTAATTGGAGCAGTCAGGAAATGTCCGTTCTACGTTGAAGACAATATACAGTAACAAAAAGAGCTCAGTAGTAAAAGTAGTACTGTTGGTAACCAAGTTTGAATTTCTATTCAGTTATGTATTAATTATTACTATGAGTTCACAGTGAAAAGAAAACGTCAGATTTTTTTTACTTTAGTGAAACCATTCTATTTTTAAGAGATCAACCAAATATTTTGTACAGAGATGGTGCTAAAGTCTCATGCACATCTTGCATCTATTGAGGATCCAATTTATGTACTCAATTTTCATAAAGTAGCATTATTATGAAATACAAATGTTTTTGTAAGCTAATTAGGTGCAATAATAGATCATATGCACTACAGGTGTACAATTCAACTAGTAAAATAGAAAATAAGTACAATATATCTAAATACAAATTAGAGACCCGCCGTACAATAAATAAATATTTTGCGGCAATTTTTAATGTCAATATGAGATTTTCTCTTGACAAAAAGTTGAATAATATAGCATTTCGAAAATAAATGAAGTCCTTATAATTTCTTCATAAAAAAATTAAATCTCTATTCACATAAGACTACTCCCCTTTTCATATCTGTACTTTGACTGATATCTGCTACTCTCGGATAGCTTTAGTGACACGGAGCCACATGCCATTCATGATTTTTCCGAAGAAATACCTACGAAGGCTGATATTTCAGTTATAATAAGTGTTGTTTCAACATCTTTTCTCCCCAAACTCAATTCTTCCATTTAAAAGCTATGACGACTAGCGAGATAACTGAATTTGTGGCTACCTTCAATATTGTTGGAGGATAGAAAACGCTCATGACAAAAACAGTAAAAATGCAGGAGAATATGCTATAAGTGCAAAATAAGTATAGCCATAGGTTGGATAGGTTAGGATTGTTGTATAGATAACCACTGACCTTTGTCTTAGAGAGCATGGGATTGTCATGTTCAAGTAAAGATAACCAATGGCCCTTGACTTGAAGAGGTTAGGATTGTTGTGTTCAAGGATAGATAACCATTGGCCTTTGTCTTGGAGAGGCTAAGATTGTCGTATTACAGAATAAATAACATTGCTCTTTGACTTGCAGTGGTTAGGATTATCGTGTTCAATGATAGATAACCAATGGCCCTTGACTTGAAGAGGTTAGGATTGTTGTGTTCAAGGATAGATAATCATTGGCCTTTGTCTTGGAATGGCTAAGATTGCCGTGTTACAGAATAAATAACCATTGCTCTTTGACTTGAAGTGGTTAGGATTATCGTGTTCAATGATAGATAACCAATGGCCCCTGACTTGAAGTGGTTAGGATTATCGTGTTCAATGATAGATAACCAATGGCCCCTGACTTGAAGTGGTTAGGATTATCGTGTTCAATGATAGATAACCAATGGCCCCTGACTTGAAGTGGTTAGGATTATCGTGTTCAAGGATAGATAACCATTGGCCCTTAACTTCAAGTGGTTTGGATTTTCGTGTTTAAAGATAGATAACCATTGGCCTTTCACTTGAAGAGGTTAGGATTGTCGTGTTCAGGGATAGATAACCATTGGCCCATGACTTGAAGAAGTTAGGATTGTTGTGTTCAATGATAGATAACCAATAGCCCTTGAAGAGGTTAGAATTGTGTTCAATGATAGATAACCATTGGCCTTTGTTCTGGATACGTTAGGATTGTCGTGTTCAAGTAATGATAACCACTGTCTCTTGACATGAAGAAGCTAAGATTGTCGTCTTCAAGGATAGATAACCATTGACCTTTGTCTTGAAGAGATTAAGATTGCTTTATTCAAGGAAGTTGCTACACAGAAGGTAGTTCCACATAGTAGCATTTAAAAGAAAAGTAAAAAAATCTTTCTGGTGCAAATTCTTCCTTGCAATCAGAATACGGAGGAAATGTGCGTGATGTGACTCTGTGGCTATGGCATGGCGAGTATTAGCTGTATATATTTGAAATACTGATAATATAATAGAGTTCATGTGTATATTTCCCAGGGAAATAATGATAGGCTTGCAACATTGTGTCTGTAGGAAAGAAGTTTTATAACGGATAATGTCATCCTCCACAAATCACTTAAACGATTATACTCAAGGCTCGAAAGTGAGTATTGTACAGATCCAACACAGATATGGCAGCAATATCCCAGAGAAGGTGTCCGGTACTTTCTGGAGCGGTAGAATGTAAGGATCATTTTTTATGCATCTTTAGCAATGGGTAGTATATAAGAATTTCATTTGAAATCTGATGTTTAAAGCATCAAAACTTTAAGAGTGTCGTCGTTATTCGTGACTGGAGAAAACTTTATTTTTATACTGAGTCTGTCATTTTGTTGGTGTTAAGATGAAATTCATGAAGGAAAGCGTCGTATTTTTTTTCTAATCCCAAGAACTTTCGATCTTTTCCAAGATTATCTTCAGGGGTAAATTACAAAGACAAACTTACTGTAACTGCAATAAAGTCTGCATTCCGTCGTGATGGCAATTTTCAAAAATACACACTGTAATTATTTTAAAAGTTTAAATTTATCTATTGTAGCTATGGAATGTTTTGCAAAACAAGTGTTAAAAATGAATACATACAATAAGTTTATATTATTCAATGAAACATGTTTGAATAAAGATGTGCTGCATACATACCTACACACACACAAACACACATATATATTAATACAAGTAAAATGTTTGTTACTTAGCTGATTGATGTTACCTTCAGCATTTCAACTCCAGAGTTTTGTAGATGGATCCTCCGGGAATCACTCCATTCTCTCATCAGAGGGTATCAACAATTGACTGTTTATACTTATCGAATACTTATCGAATTTTCTTTTTATATCCACTTTTCATTGATGCAAGATTTGGCGCATATGTGTAGAATGTCGTGGGTAGTTTTCCTTTTCGTCGTTTTTTTTCACTTTACTACTTATTGTTTTTTTTTTTTTTCATTTTCTCTCTTTTTCTCCTTTTCCTCTTTTCTTTCAGCTGTAGCTACTTCGACTTCTGGTTTTCCAGACATATATAGTCCTTACTAATTCTTGAGCGTTCTAGTGTTGCCTGGAGTTAGGAAAATTGTATTTCATTTTTTACATAAGTAATTTTTAAATATTTATTGTAGAACAAAGTTAATCTCAAAGTTTTCTTTAATTTGTTTTTAATCCCGTCTGTTAATATTAGTTGGTCTGTTTGTAATGTGCAGATCTGTGCATGGCTCTGTTTTTGAACTGGTTGAATATCATCTATATCAAAACATGATAAAGACTTGGGAACTTGCTATTGACTAACTTTTTTTTATCATCAGGATGAAAGCTTCTCCACCAGTGGGATCCAGGCACTGTAACACCGATGGAAGAAACGTGTGGATCGCAAGCGGGTGGGGACTATGTTAAAAAATAAAACTCATTTAATCACATTCCTTGAGAATACCTTAGTCAGCCTATGAACTTTTCGGTTGACCTCCGTATATGTGCATGAATTGCATTAAATGTTGATAAATGGAAAGTCAAACTATATATATATATATATATATATATATATATATATATATATATATATATATATATATACACACAAATATTTAAGTAAATGCTCTGTTTATAATAAACAGTATTAATAACATTTACCGGACTGAACGCCTGAGAAATTTTCAGAGAAAATATACGTCCTCCGACAGAAATCGAACCTGTATCCTATACGGAACCGTCATATAGCCTGACGTGTTATACCATTTAGCTATTATAAACAGAGTATTTACTTAAGTATTTGCGTATATATAAATAACGTATAACAATAAAATATATTAAAATAACTGTCGGTCCATTTCGTAATATATATATATATATATATATATATATATATATATATATATATATATATATATATGGACATTTGAAGTCAACACCCAGAGTCGATAGTCTGTATATGGCTAAACGCAATTGTTAGATTTTCGCCTCCGGGTGTTGACTTCAATGTCCACTTTAATATTTGCATATATCTCTTTCCCTGGTATTGAGAACTTTAACCCATAAATATAGCATAAGTTCAAATTATATTTTCTAATACATACATAAAGAATTAATTGATGTATTTTTAATCCGACATTTTACTTCTTCAGATTAGTTGCTTAAAAATAATTCTTTTTCGTCATTAGAACACGGGCGGACATTTTGATGCAATTACACCCAGGACTGTGCTGAAAATTCTTGATTCGACTTACTTTTCAAAATCTGCCCAAATTATCAAATTTTAGTTTTTTCATTTAAAGTTTCCTCTTTTGGGCTGGGAACATTTCAGCATATATGAATGAGCACAGTTATTTATTTTATTTATTTATTTTTTTTAGCTATAAGTGAATTCATACCGAGGCAGATATCTACATATGCGTTCCTTTGTTTAGCAGGTATTTGCTTGCGTGTATTTGGAATACTTAAAGAAATAGTTTGACTGGATCGATACATTGATGAATATGTAAGCATATACACACATATATACATATATAAAATACATATAAATGCGTGTGGTTTTGTGTGGATATTTCTATGTGTATGTATGAAGTTATAAAATGTATTAGAGCATACGCAGGAATTTACATAGATTTGTATATTAAACACTTTTTGTTAAGAACCAATATCTTTGTAATGAATGTAAACGTGCAGAGATAAAACTATAGATGAAAAAAATTCTGTGGAAATTACATCACGAATTCCTAGAATCTCTATCTAATATTGTGTTCAGGATAAGGCTAGGTTAGGAAGACTAAAGTTCATTTTGGAATAAAATCTTTGAACCAAGGTCTTCGCAGGTCGATGATTGTAGAGATCGATAAACTTATAAATTGATAGACCTGAAAACATAAACGATTTTATGTACACAATTACGCACAGGCAGGCTTACAGACATATATACAATATTTTTGGCAATCGTACAGATATAATAATACAAAAACATTTGTGTATACAGGTTGCCTCAAAATAATGTATACACTCTTTAAATATTAATAGTTAATAATACATTAACATGATGTGA